GTAAGTTATTTGACCATCCAAAGAAAACATTCTTCGGATGGTCAAAAGAAAAAAACACAATATGTTCAGAAGTTGAAATAAATAAAACTAAATAAAAAATAAATAAAATGAGGATTTGGATAAAGGATGTTATATGTGGCTTTTAATCATCCGTTACCAAAACATTCCTGTATCTGGAACCATTTTCAAAGTCAAAGCTTTGCATTTTGCAAAAGAACTTGGTTGTGACAACTTTTAAGCATCCGATGGATGGTTAAAAGAAATGTATTGCTTGAAACAATATCTGGTATTTTATCATTTTATTTTTTCATTGATATTTACATTTTTTTGTCTAAAAAATAATATTAAGCATGACACTCTCATTTCTAATAAAATTAATTATCCATAAAAATTATCCATAAAGCCCATAAACCAATAAATTATCAAACCAATTCTTTTGTTTTAATTTGTTTAAAGTCATTACTACGTTTTGGCTTATTACCACACACTGCATGAAAAGCAAATTATCAAGCCAATTCTTTTGTTTTAATTTGTTTAAAGTCATTACTACGTTTTGGCTTATTACCACACACTGCATGAAAAGCAAAGTCCTAAACCAGAGCTAATAAATTTATGCTGATTTTAAAGTTACTTTTCTTATTTTTCATAGGTGAAAGTCATGATGGTTCTAATGAAATGACCACTTCTTGGAGGAAACAACTTTGCCAACAATATTGTCTTGTTATAATTTGCATGATATAATTAATGCAGATGAGTTCGGCTCAAAAAGTATGCATTTGAAAGGTGAGAAATGTAGTGGAGATAAGAATTGCAAGATACGACTAAAAAAAAACTTCCAATATTTGTTATTAGGAAATCAAACAAACCCCTTTGCTTTAAGTTGCTTTAAAGGAAACTAGAAGCACTCCATGTCATTACCATGCGCAAAGAGCTGGATGATCTCTGAATTATTTGAGGAGTGGGTTAGAGAAAACAGCAGAAAGTTTTGCATTAGAAGGCCGTAAAGTAGCATTGGTTATTGATAATTGCACCGCACATCCAAATATTGAGAATCCTAAATCAATCACACTACTTTTTTTCACCCAAATACATTTCATCTTTGCAGCCAATGGATCAAGGAGTCAGTCGATCGTTAAAATGTAAGTACTGAACTAATTTAACTAACAAGATCATAAATACTATTGATAACGGAAAACAAATGCCTTCAATCTCCATACTTGATGCTATGAAAATGAATGTTCATTTTTGGAATAAAGTTTTAAAAACCACTATTATTAACGGCTTCGGCAAAGCAAAATTTAAGAAAGGAGTAGGAGTACCAGACAAAGGTGAAGATTATTTCCATGCATTAAAAAATTCAATTGATCAGTTACATCAGCGAGGATCTTGTTCTGGAAGTTTTTACTTATAAAGATATGTTAATAATTGATTATGACATTTCCATAATGGGAGGAGTGATATCAGATGAAGATATTGTTCAAGATATCATTGAGGTAGATGAAGAAGAAATGCAAGTAGAAAAAGGAAACAAAATGTCGGATCAAGCGGTGACAAAGCTAACGACTAAAGAAGTTCATAAAGCAATTGATACCATTGTTAATTTTTCGATGTTTACTCACAGTGGTGAAATTGGAAGAGTAGCTATAAAAGCTTCAAAGCTGTTTGAAAAAGAATTGTGCAAATCACTGAAACAAACATCAATTACGGACTCTTTTCATTTATAGTATATATTTTATATACAAAAAAATATATTTCACATAAGATTATAATGTTCTGTGTATATGTACATAATATTTATATATAAGTCTCAAAATCTCAATAAGTCTGACATTTCCAAAAAGTCAGACTTAACGAGAGCTTTGCTTAATTTGGACATTAGCTAATTGGAACAATAAATATATACCCCTTCAGAGTCCAAGTTAACAGGATTCTACTGTGTGTGTGTATATGTATATATATATATATATATATATATATATATATATACATATATATATATATATATATATATATATATATATATATATATATATATATATATATATATATATATATATATATATATATATATATATATATATATATATATATATATATATATATATGTATATAACCTCATACAAAAATAGAAAGTTGTTGGGGCTTCAGTAGATACATCAATTAGTCTGCTGCAATAAAGGAGTGGGCTACATCGACTAAGGATTTGGCATGGGGCAGCAATCTTTTTTTTATCATTCTTCATTTTTTTTTTATCATTCTTCATCTTTTTCTGAAAAATGATATTAGAAATTGCATCCATAGCTATGAATTAAGTATAGTAAATATAAAGGAAAGCAAAGATGCCAATTGAAGAAAGAGTTTATATATCAAACCAGTGTTTAAAAAAAGGACCTAAGAGGCTATTTCAGATGTCTTCGGTAGATAAATCCGCTTTAAACCACAACAGTCAAAAAGAAAGTATTTTACATCACAACTCTTTACCAGAACCCTGAACATATATGCATGAAATACTGAAATATTTTTGTTTTCTTTGTAATATTATTTTGTAAGCTACATGTAAATATTATTTTAAATTTTTAATTTATTATATATATTTAACATTAATCAGATGGATAAACAAACAAAGCTGTGCTTAAACACAAGCATTTCTGTAGCAACAATTTCATAACAAAATGTGTAGCTGCAGAACATCACCTTCTACACATAAAGATGGTAAATTTCAAGAGATCTACTTGACTTACAGAACAAAACTAATTGTTGTTGGGATAAATTAAAGGTTATGATTGATACTTAAAAAATATGAAATGCCTGGAAAGCATTCATCCTATTCTTTTAGATAACAAGGCATCAAACACTGTTTGGAGAAGTGATTTAGTAGTAAATCTAAAAGAAACAACAGAAAGTAAAATTTCATACAATAAGTGGTAGCCTTTGTCAAAAAGAACTCTTAATAAAATTTCTTTTAAAAAAATTGCATGTTAAAACAACAAGTCCACAAAATTAAAGAATAAGATACTAAAGAAATTCTTTGTGAACCTCAAGCACAGTTTAAACCAATTAAAACTTTAACTATTTCAGATAGGATACTAAAATGTTTTTTTCAAGTCATATTTAAAAGCTTCTTCACATATATTGCAAAATAAATAGATAACAATGGGCTACCTTGTAAATAAGGTAAAATAGAACCTTGTTTAATAATTTTTACTTATTATCAACAAAAACTTTTTATCTCAAAATAAAAAAAAATAAAATCATTGAAAATGAGCCTTAAAAATTGAAAAATAACTCTTTTAGTCACTGATAAAAACAAAAACTTTCAGGCTTTAAAAATGGCTGATAAAATCTAGTAAAATGCTAAAACATAGTTTTAGGCGTGTTTTGTAAAAAATATTAGTTCAGATTTATAAACTGAACTTTTTTATGAAAAATATTTATATTTCTAATTGTAACATTAAAAAATTTGCACCACCACCCCACCCCCACCCCTTGTATTAACAACTCGAGAGTACTCACCCTCAGACATAAGTAAACTTTTAAAAATTAGTTTATCTACATATCATTTATGCAAATGCAGTATGCAATGTTATCATTTTAGGGTTGTATAATAAGTTTTACTGTAAAGTTTTATGATTTTTTTTTATTAATATAAAATTCTAGATATAGAGGACTTTTTTAAAAAATTGACGATTGTGCCCTCCACTTTGAAATCCATGTTGTCAGCCATTGCAATACTTTTATTTTTTTAAAAAAAAGCAGTTATGGAATACAAAACACAGATCCCTCAAATAAACTTGAATGCTGCAAGCCTGATATCTCTGATTGACATTGCTGATCTTGCTTATTTTAAAATAGAGCCTTTGACTAGAAAAGAGTTTTTGGATGAAGAAATTTACACTTTCATTTAAAGTAAAACATTCAAGACTTACCCTTACATTTTCAGTGTTAAAAGTTGTTTAAAATAAGTTTGGAAGCATCTAATACCATAGAACTAGACATATACAAAGAAAACTGTTTAGCCGAAAAAAGCATCATGGGTTTATGTAAAAATAATCTTATTCTCATTCATATGATGACTTTAATTTACTTTGTTGAATGCTCAAAATAAATAAGTAGTTTTAGTTTTATATTGTTTTTGAAATAAACAATAAATTGTTGTTGATAACACAAAAAACTTTGAAAATAAAATTTTAGAAAAAAATAAAATTTAGAAGAAATTAGAAAGAAAAAAAGTTAAAATATGAAAATGACTAAAAACTAAATCTAAACCAATTGTTAACCATATGTTATTACCCATTTATCATATTATTATAAGTTAATCACTTATTATAGTATATTATAGGCTCTAAATGGCATCATGCCCAAAGACACTTGACACACCAAGATGCTAAACAAGCCTCTAAGTCCTGTTTACATTGTAATTAAATGTTTTCAATTGACTTGTCATGTTAAGAGGAAACTTGGCAATGTCTTAAAGATTCAGTTTAAACTTCTCAATAGATCAAGCCTCAGTTTCTCAGAACGCTGTTATAAATTTTTTTAATTTATATTTGTCAAAAAAATAAAATCAATTTTAAGACATTTTTTAATTATTGTTAATCAAGTTAAATCATTGTGCTGATTATATGTTACAAGCTGGTTGGTAAAGAAGATGTTATTTTTGTAAGATCAATGCACAAAAGTAAAATAAATTCATTTAAAATAGGTCCCTAGCTTCCATGACAAAACCTAGGCAGTGCCCACCTGATTTATTAACCTATAACTTACTTTTATGGATTCATATATCATATAAAATCTGTTTATTTTTAATTAAACATTTTGACTGGTAATTTAACGTTTAGACTAGTATTACATATAATTTAAATATTAGACCCTATTGTTAGTTTAAATAAATTTTATCTCTTTCTCTAACAATTTTACAATTATTTGGTTAAAAATATGTCCCTTATATAAATATTAAACAAAAAATTGCAAAAATATACATAACAACAAATGTGAAATACCTTCATATACTAAACTTCCAAGCACATTGCTTAAAAAACAAACCGAAAAAATGGCAAATGACTTCTGAAAAATACAATTTTAAATCAATCATTTTTTTAATTTAAATACATTACATGGATTAATTAGTGATGGAAATTTCTGCAAATTTTTTACAAAAAAAACCTACTCAAAATTTCTATAAGATTTCTATTACTGACAATTACAGAATTTTTATTTAAAATTACTTAGTAGACAAGTAAATCTCATTTTTAAAATTTAATAATATGAGTTATTAAGTAAAACTAAACTTAAACTTAACTCAGGTGTAATCGCCTATTGCTTAAAGCACAGATAAGGCATACATAGTCTTACTATAATTAATTACAACCAATATATATGAACCAATATAACCAATATAATTACACCATATAAATGAACCATTAGATGCACACTCTTTTTATATAAGCAAACACAAATTTTAAAATAAGTAACTTTTGGCCTGGACCTTGGCCTTGGCCTTGTAACTTGTGGCCTTGACCTTGGCCTTGTTACTTTTGACCTTGTTAAAAACTCTGGCTGAATGTTAGGAAATGGTCAAAAGATAACAATATACCAAAGTTACAAACTTTATTTAAAAAATCAAAGATATTAAACTCACATTTGTTCAAATAAAACTTCATTTTCATTAAGAGCATCATCCACATCCATTGAAAATCACCATAACTCCCAGTGTTTGTTTCTGGCAAGATTGAACATGGATAGTGATTATGAATGCATCGTAAGTATAACATAGATGAGTATTTGACTTTATAAAAATCCCAGAAATTTTTTTTATGAAAATCCCGGAAAATTATTTAATTAAAAGTTGATCGTATTAACTGAAAACAAAAACTTTCGCAAACTTTTAAAACAGAATTTAGATTAACCTTTTACAAAAAGGAATTTCTAATATTTGAAAAAGTTAATTTAAATAAATTAAAAAGCGAAAAAAAAAAAAGATTAAAAATTGTTACGAAAAAAAATCTCATGAAAATTTTAATTATAGAAAACATATTAATTTAAATGCAAAGTTGTCTTTTTTAAAATTTTATGTAAAAATATATAATTTTTTTTTCAAATTAATAACAAAAAACATCTGGAAATTTCTGGAAAATTAAAGTAGTTTAAGTGAATTTTCGAAATTCCAGGAAATTTCGGAAAAAACTCATCTATGGTATTAAGACCTTTCAGTTTATTAAGGAAATCAAAAGAGATCAAGAATACAATCATCATTCATTTCATTCAGTAAAAAATTAGAACTTATTACTAGAACAGTTTAAAATTTTTCACACTTTTGCTGTTAAATGTGTTTATTGAAGTGTAGGGCTTTTATTATTACATCTATCTGTATTACATCTATATTTACATCACGCCATCTTTGATGTTCAATTACAATAAACACTTTCAGAGAGGCATTTTTTCCTGTATCAATTGGTTAGCAGTTAGCCACAGTAAGAGACTACACAAAGAGATTGAGCTATGTAATTTTTTTTGAATTATGATTATGCAACAATATTATTCTGTTTTTTCTTTAAAGCACTCTGCAAGTTCTCACTCAAAGTTTTACAAACTTTTTTGCACATTTTGTACATAAATTTAAAAGGAAACGCTAGTCCTTGTTGGTTATTAAATAATTTTTACAGTGTTTGCATTCAACAAAGGATCCAACAGCCTCTAATAGCAATAAAACTGCTATTTTCTTTCTCCTTTTGTTGTCTCTGTGCATTTTTTTGATAATAAAACAAATGCTGTCAATGTAAGATACATTACCTTTATGTATTTATTTTTTGATGGTATTATTACTATTTTTTAAATAAAATAATAATTATAATTATGAAGAGTTATACAAACATTATAATATACATTTTAAATAATATCATATTTAATAAACTTACCGTAGTTTTGTACTATATTGAATATAGTATGTATAATTACATTGTATTTGAATATAGTATGTATGTTATTAAAAATACTATATTGAATACAGTACAAAACTTTCTTCCAGAGAAAATGATATAGAAAATAGCAATCTTATTGCTATTACTATTATTATTATTATTATTGATTTTTTAATACATTTTAGTTTTATTTCAACAGCCTCTAATAGTGTTAGAGGCTGTTGAATCTTTTGATGAATGAAACACTATAAAAATTATATGAAAGCCAACAAGGACTAGATTTTCCTTATAAAGTTGTGCACAAAATGTGCAACGAAGTTTTTAAAACTTTGATTGAGAACTTGCAGAGTGCTTCAAGAAAAAACAAAAAATAACAATATTAAATGATATTGTTGCTCAATCTCTTTGTGTAGTGGCTAACTGCCACTATTTCAATGTAAGTAAGCCTCAAAAGTATGCTTACAGATGCTTATGTTTTAGCAAACTCCTTATCTAAAAAAAAAGCATGCACTTGTGTTGTGGTGTTGTTAAATGCAAAATAGATCAATAATTATTTGAACACGTGCTTTTGTTGTTGTTGTTTAAAGTTAAAAAGTGCGACATGCGATGGATTTTGTTCAAAAGTGATGCCTAATTTTGATATGACTATTTTCGGCCAATTAAATGATTGCCGACTTCAGCGTAGTCCGATCAAGAGTAAAAATCATATAAAAAAAAAGCGTTGGGTACATAATGAAACTAAGATTTGCTTTTGCCAAAACCATTTAGTTGGTTTGGGGTTGCGGAATAATGTCGCAAAATTATGACTCTCGCAAAGTTTTTATTGTCGCAAATTTTTATTGTCGCAAATTTGATTGTCAAAAATGTAAAAAAGGAGTAGATTTGATACTGATTGTCGAATAACAGAATAAGGAATAATGTTGCAAATGAATAGTGAATAGTGCAAATGAATAGCGCAAAAGAATAGTGCAAATGAATAGTGCAAATGAATAGTGTCAAAAATAAAAAATAGAATATTTTTGCAAAGGAGTTTAATAAATAGTGTCGAAAATAAAAAAAGGAATAGTGTCGCAAATAAATTTAATGACTAGAATATTTTTGCAAACGAGTTTAATAAATAGTGTCAAAAATAAAAAATAGAATATTTTTGCAAAGGAGTTTAATAAATAGTGTCAAAAATAGAAAAAAGGAATACTGTCCTAATAAATAATGTCATACTGAAATAGCCTGCTGCCGAGGGCTTCAGTATATACAACAAATATCTTATAGCCTGCTGCCGCAAAGGAGTGCAACTACATCGAATGAGGGTTTAGGATTTGGTAGCAATCTTTTCCTTCATTATTCTTTGTTTTCCTGTATAATTCGTATGCCATAAAGATAAGCAAAACGAGTAAACGAGTTCCTGTCACCTGTAAATATTTTTGCAATATATATATACACGAATGCAAATGCGATACATATATAAATTTTAGCAAGGTTAAAATGTAAATATAATACGATTAGGCAGATTTTAATTTTATTATTAAAAATATTAGAGGTTTATAAATTAATATAATTTATTAGTAGAACTTTTAAGAGACAAGTTCTTTTTGAGTAAAGAAAAGAAATATTTTTTAATTCAATGTTGTGTTTATATAAAATTACAGTTGGTATTTTTCTATTTGTAAATGTAAAAAAGGAACCTTGAAATTTAGCACCAATTATTTCAGAAAAATATTAATGGACAAATTGATTAATTAGGTAAATGTTATACTAATTCAAATATTGACATTACCACAAGAAAAAATTTTATCTTGGTTATTATAGTTTGTGTTTAATCAAAACAAAAACAAACATACGGTAAGTGAGACACAATAAGCAGACCAATCTGCGGTGAGAAACGGGTATATAAAAAAAAATCTTTTAAACTTATATATATGTATGGTGAGACGAGTTAGTTGAGCCTAGGGACGAATTGGGCAGTTAAACAGTTTTAAAAACTACACATCTGATAACAAAAGTTATTCAACTTCTCAATAAGTATATATATCTAGTTTTTAAAGAGATTTACCACTATAAATTTTCTGAAAAATCAAAAAATTTGTTTGTATTAGATGTTTTATGATTTTAAAAATCATAGAGGTTAGGTTTAAAAACGTCTAAGTATCCAAATTTTTAATTTTTTTAAAGTTGTAAAAGTGTTGTTTTCATATCTTAAATTTACGCCAAGTAAATTTAGTTAATAAAAAAGCAATCTATAGTTTAATAACAAACAAACGCTCGGAAAATGACATTCTGGATTTCGAAAATTTACAACCCTAACAAGCATGTTAAAACGACGGATAAGACAAACGATCAACAGGAAAAATATTGGTTGTTGTGGCAATAATCTAAAATACTGCAGCGCTTGCATCTCTACTTCATTTTGTATCATCAAAAGTTATACATCCAGCACTAAACAACGTTGCCAGGTCCTTGTCCTTATTTAGAGGTTGTATAAGACCTAGATTTTATTAACTTAGAAAAATAAACTTAAAAAATGTCTTTATGTAAAAATATAAAATGCAAATAACTCTTTTAATAGAAAAAATATTTTCCGAGCTCTTTTCTAAACTATATGTTATTCAGATAAATTTAAACTTATATAAAATAGTCTAAAAGTTGACAGTGTTTGAAAACTTCTAGTAAAAAACTAACAAATAAGTAGTTACCTGCTTCATACTGAATACAATCTAGATATAACCTGATTATTAAAAAAAACTTTCAACGACTTTGAATCGTATTATTTTTTCGTTTTTCAATTTTTAATTTTTAAAAAACTAAAAAATTTATGCCTTTTTTTTTAATAAATTTTCAATGCACATTATATCGGAAGTTTTTTTATATTACTATATAAATAGTAACAAGTATTAATATTTTAGTTTTAACTCGAATTAGTCAGTCGGATATTCCTTTTAGTGCAGTCATTGACACATTCAATCAGCTTCAAAAACTTTATAGATATATTAAACGTCTGACCAACATCTCCCTTGATTTTTTTTTTCACCTCTCCAATAAAAATTTCAGCAGCCTTGAAGAGGATCCGGCTCTAGAATTCTACAAGTTCAGTAAGCCCTTTTGATCTGGTAATAACCCGTAGCTTCGGTTCACCCAAATGAAACTGCTCAGGCTCATTATATTCAGTGCCGCCGAGAGGAGGGAGGGTTGAAAGGGACAGTTTTTCCCGGGTGACAGATATCCAAGGGGCGCCAAAGGAAAAGAAGGTACCAAAATAAAATCCTTCATCTATAATATAATATATATACTTTTATCAATAAAGACGCCAATCAGGGTTGCTGTCCCAGACGGTGTGACGGCTCTCGGCGACACTGATCATACTTGTCCAACTTTTCCGATATTTTCTTTACCTTCGCTTCAACATCATCGTCGGCTAGTATCAGCATAACTAATTGTTCTGCTAAATACTAAACACGGCTAAAATATGTACTTAAGGAACCCAATTTTTGCGGAAAAAATTTTTTTTTTCCAGCAAAATATTTTTTCGAAAATTCTTTTTTCTTAGCAAAATATTTTTGAAAAATTAATAAAAATTTACGCAATTTTTCATTTATCTGCCTAACTTCCCCAAAGTAATAAGATGTTACTATACATTGGCGCTGTCCATCTGAAATCAATATGGGCCATGTACCAGAGTCATCAAGAATTATCTCAGTGTTTTTGAATACATTAGAATCAGAAGTATCATCTGCATTTAATTCTTTTTCTGTCACACCATCGTTAGACTTATCTCTTGTCCATCAGAAGCAGTGGGTCCGTACGCATTTCCTTTGTCTGATTTTTCACCTATTGAATCTATTTCCAAATGATTTTCAGCTCTGACATCAATTCTACAATATAAATGTTAAGCTACTTGTTAACGT